GATGCGGCGCGGGGGTAGGGGGGTGGGGTGTAAAAAAAGGGGGGGGGGGGGGTGTTTGGGGTCACCTCTTCAGATGATGGCATCATGGGGTAGTTGAGGCACTGCCACTCCAGGCCTATGGTTGGAGTGACGCTGCATGTTGGACTGCAAATGGCCTAATGGAAAGAGACCTAGCATTTCACTGGATCTCCCTGGCCACCTTCTGGACCTTTGGCGATTACCGTGGCCGAACCTGCGGCTTGGCCTCACTGGCTGGCCCAACAACATAGCCGTTTGAGGCCAGAGTGGGTCCGTAAAGCTAGAGATGCTAGACTCCTGGAAAGGGATACAGGACCTGCGCCTCAGCGGGCGGGGCTTCCCGTAGACATGGGAGGCTGCGAAAAGGTCGGAACTAAAGGTGGAGCAGGGCAACGGTGAGCCCGCGGTCAAAGAGATGCGACCCTCCAGTGACGGTCCCAGCAGGCTGAGGCTGGTTCTGTCCGTGAACGAGTCTGTTCGGTCTTCGTAGCCAAGATCAGCGGGGGCTGAGCACTGCTGCAGAGGCCAACCACCACGACCCTTCCCCCCAATGTCCGCAGTGCTGCCTCCATCACCACCATCTCTTTCAACCCTGACTGTTTCTTCTTCCTCCTCCACCTCCTCTTCCTCCTCCTCCTCTACTTCACCCATTTCCTCTTCCTCCACTTCTTCTTCTACATGACCTTCCTCCTCGTCCTCGGTGCTGGTAGGTGGGGGAGAGCGAGGGTCTCTCAAGAAGACCACTACAACAGTGATATTATCACTAGAGCCCGCATCACGAGCAGAGGCCACCAGCTTATGGGCTACCATAGTAGTGTCTCCAGTGTTCTCCAGGAGGTGGTCGCTGACCACCCGCACTGCCTCATCTGGACTCACTGTGTCCCAGAACCCATCACAGGCCAGGATAAGGTAGTCTTCAGAGCCGTCCAGGTGGACAATAGTGCGGTCTGCGTCACCGCAGATGTAAGGTTTGTGCTCAGAGTCTCCTGTGAACGTGGGCAACACATTAGTCTGGTCTCCTCTCAGCTTCAACTTTGATCAGACATCAAGTCATGTTTTTTTTTACCTATTGCTCTGGATACAGACAAGCTGCCGTTAACCCTCCATGTGCCGAACCAGATCACACATCCTCCAAGAGCCTCAATTCTCTGTTTCTCGTCCTGCAGAAGCACAAAGTGGGAGTGGCATTATTCACCGTCTATAACCATAACGGTCACATGGTTGTAACAGTAAGTAATTGTTGGACTGTCTAATTCACTGTGGAAACATTTTGGCTTTGGATTGTGAAAAGTAAATAGTAGCAAAACATTGGAGTCATACTGCATAAATGTGGACATGGTTTTCTCACCTCTCTGTCTGGCTTATGTGGTTTCATCAGTTCCACAGCCTGACCTCTCCTGACCAGGATGACCTGGGAGTCTCCCAGCCAGGCTACGTGCAACGTCTGGCCCCGCAGGAACGTCACTACGCCTGTTGTGCCACATCGCAGGTTCTGCAAAATGTAGGTGTTTTTTTTCCCTCAGTTACTCAATTCACAGTGTAATGTTGTTAATGAGTCATTATTTTCTGCTATTGTCAGATGAAGAAAATCTGACAACACGGTCCTTGAACTCGCCTACTTTGTAAATATGTGAATACACTGAAGGGGTCGGTTATTGACGAGGCAGAATGAAGTATGTGCTTCCTCTTAAAGAGTGAACATGACAAACAGTGTCTTCGAGACGATGTCGTCTCAAAGTCATCAAACTGGAAAGAGGTCATGGTGTCGGGGCAGGAGAATTACCAGAGGGCTGTGGATGTGGACAGATGAGTGTGGGGGAGATATTTGGACTTGATATTTCTGGCACACCAATAAAGGACTCAGAAAAGCAAAGTGGGGCACAATACAGCAGATCTGCGTATTTTAACTGGAAAATGCTTTCTATATTTTACCACCATTTCACCTCCAAGCACTAGAAGAGAAAAAGGAAACTGAGGGAAAGATGTTTTTGTTTTTTGTTTTTTTACAGTGATGTTGTTGGAAAGTGTGGAATAAATTAAAGCTGTAATTTTGGAGAATCAGTTTGTGGCTGACTTGCTGTTCAGTGTCAGCTGAAGGTTGGGCAGAGTGTCTGTGGCAGACCGGGGGTTGGGGGTGGGTTCCATATTTAAGACAGGAGGCTGGAGAGTGTGCTCTAATTATTGGGGTATCATTCAGCCTCCCATGGAGGCAGGAGCAGTTTGGAATAATGTGTATCATGAGTATGAGTTCATCATCACAGATTATTGTTGAACACCGTTAACCTGGCATCACTCCTACATTATAAATGGATGTGTATTTTTCAGACGCGGTCACCTCTCTGGATGCTTTCTTGACAAAGCGCTCATCAGTCTGTTTGAAGGCTCTGCACAGAGCGTCGCCTACATCGTGGCTGTATGTTTCCTGATGAACCAGGTTAACGTGGAGGTGATTGGAAGCATAGATGGCAGCATCCACGCCACCATGGCCATCGAATACTGCAAAGAAAGCCTGTTCTTCCTGGTCCTGAGGCAGACAAGTTAGAAGTCAGTGAACGCCTCTTTAAACTATACAATTTCTGAGTGTTGACAGATGGTTAGTAAACAAGAGAACCTTGTGAGACTATGTATTTAATTTGGAAATGATGTGACAAGAAAACAGGAAATGTTCCCACACAGTCAGTCAGTTGTTGTTGTTGATGTATTTGTTGTTATATCCATGGTTACACTTCCTTAAATGCAGGCTGTGGGATCTACCTGAACGTTGAAGAGTGTGTTAAAGTCAGGGATGATAACATGTTTGTCCTCCATCTTGCGCCTCATGTTCTTGATGGCGTGTATGGAGGTTTCATAGTAGGGCAGAGGACGGCGACGGAAGGGAAGCTCCTTCATCCACAGGCAGCACATCTCAAAGAGTCTGTTGAACACCAGCCGGGCCAGCTTCACTGACTCCATCTCTACACAAACATGTACATTCACATATTATTATCAATACCATTAGTACGGATTTACAAATTGACAAAATGTAAAACTAAAATCTAAAATCTACTTGACAAACTTCCATACCAAGGCAATGTTGTACAATTAAAAAAGAAAAAACAGACGTGAACTAGAATCCCAGCCTCCATTGAAACTGAACTAGAACCATCATCAGGTACAACAGTCCACACTGCCTCTGTTGTCTGGTCGTCCAAATATGGCAGCATTTAAGTTTATAAAATAAAAGTAAAGTTTCCTCTCTTTGTCTCGCCCTCCACCTTCTTAAAGGACATGAACACTGAGGGTAACTGAACTGACTTCTCTGCCAGATCTGTTGGAAATGGATTGGACTTGTCATTGCATCTGGCATCAAGTAATACCCATAACACCTTGCAAAAATCCTGACGAAGAAAAACAACAACACAACAGTAGGATGTGACTAGCTGTTACACAACACAATTTTTACACAACTTTTTTTTTTCAGAAAGCACATAGTGAGAAAGCAAAGAGAGGAACAGTTTGAGTCGTGTCTGCTCAAAGTGTGAGTTACCGTCAAATGTACCACAAAACATTACAATAAAAAAAAAAAAAAAACAACACCCCCACAGGAAGTGAGGTGTATCGCCTCCTGTCCTCCAGACATGATGCTCTGAATTGTGTCCTAACTCCTGTATCAAAGTTTTGAATCAGACCATTGTTCCTCCGCACAGTCACCTCCACACTTTGATGTAATGTAATATGGAAAAAAAGTCACTTTGACCTCAAACCATTTAAAGCTGTGATGCAGCAGAACCTTGTCTCATCTGTGTCTTTGTCCTCCACAGGTGTGTGGACAAATCTGAGAACTGTGTGTAAGTTTAGTGTAATCCAAACAGTAATTGTTGGGTTTTTTTGGCTTCATTTTGTTTGATTTACAGATTTCATGTATACTGTTGGAGCCTCTAGTGGTCAAATACCACTTATTGCAGCTGTGTTGGGGAGAACTGGGACAAAGCCCTGGTGGTTTGCTGATGGTGTGTGTGTGGGAGGGGGATGATGTTAGAGAAAGAGAGGGCGAGAGAAAGAGGGAGACCTAATTTGCCTAAACCTCTGTGTGTGTGTGTGTGTGTGTGTGTGTGTGTCTCACGTGGTGGGTCAGCTCCATCTTCTGTGTTCCTGTTGAGGTGGTGGATGGAGAGGTCAGTCTGTAGGATACTGTCTGCTGTGGCTCTGGCCAGGGCTGCAGCCAGGGAGCATGGGCAGTTACTGCAGCCAAAAAACCCCAAAAAGACAGAGGACAAATATAAAAAATGTCAGAAATACAACTCATACAAAAATTTGGTTAGGAGAATTAAACAAATTATAGTGACATTTGAAATACTTTCGGTTTTATTTTTCCCAATGCTACGTTTTGCTTTCTTTTAACATTTTCTGAGTTAACATTGAGTCATCCCTAGCCTAGTTTGTAACATTTTTGCAAGCTTTTATCGGCTTCACCATTAAGTTATAGTTAAATCTCGACAAATATATATTTATATATTTTTTTTTTACGTTCGATAGCCCTGGTGAGGCTAGAAAGGGCATTAAAATAACTTTCATCAAAATGTAAGATAGTGATAGTGACAGATATTTCAGAGCTCTTTGACTCTAAAAAAAGATGAAGAGGAGGAAGAGGATGACATAGAGGAAGAAGTAGGTGGAGGAGTGGGAGGGGTCATTTGAAGGACAGAAGGCCTTCTGTTCATGAGTCACTGAAAGATAACTAGACTACCCCAGATGCAGGTAACCATGGTAACCCAACTACTGGATACTACCACATTTAAATGAAGATAAAAATAAAACTGAAATGAACCCATGTCAAATGGTGTTAACACTGTGTTTTTTTTCTGAATTTAGTGGTGAATGTCCGAGCCTCCATTTGTACTGTGTGAAGACGAAAATGAATACTATTACAGTATATGAATTAAATATAATTGATCATAAGAAGAAAAATGACCACACACTTCCACACCTCATGTCATAGAGTAGGAAAAGGAAGTTAAAACACAATGAAACGTTTTCATTATCTCCATGGCAACCATACAAACTGCAAATAACTTTGTGACGAATATTACACAGAAATAGTTCAAGGAACGACTCATTACCATCCGAACATGAGAGAAAATACATTCAGACGTTATGACACACTTTTCTCCAACTGTGACAAACACTTTTCAGAAAGAAGAAAGACCTATTTTTCACAGCTCAGTTGGCTTCTCCTAGTTGGAGGAGTTGATGACCTGCTAATTAACCTGCGTGTCTCATTTCAGCAAAACACGGTTTTCTTTTGTTTGAGTTCCCTTTTCTTCTCTCCTCCAGTTCCATCCTGCTGTGAGGGGCAGGAGAAGATCCAGGATGACACCTCCACACACCGACTCCCTGACACTCAGGTACAGAGAAATAGCAGCTCCATACGAGCAGGTATTTAGCTCCAAAACACTGATTTTCTCCGAGTCCTGACACCTGAACGCATGCATCTATGACAGAATTGTTCTTCCACTTGTTCTTTGAGTCACATTTGATTTTACTTCCTGTTTACAATGGCATACTACTTTATATAACACTTTATAAATACAAACAGTCCACTAACTCTAATGTACAAACATGAAAAAATATCATTTATTACCTGAAAATGAAGTATAGGACCTTGATTTTACTGCAAAACTAGGTCAAGGGCTACATGCAAGTGGAGTAGTTAGAGGATGACCCCTTAAGGCGGTAACCATAGAAACCTCCAGCGTAAACCTCTCCTTGGAAATGAGGTAGCTGTGCCGCGGGAAGATCACGTTCTACTTCTTGGAGCGCTGAGCACAAATTATGTAACGGTTCTAATTGAGAAGTAATTGCTTGAATTTAATGAATCAAATTATTACATCACAGAATGACTGTCTTTCTCTTCGACTCCCTGTCCCTCATGTTATTGGCATGTAATGTTCTTGTTTCATTCATTCATGACTGACTCGCCATGTTAACAGGCAGTAATTATATTAGACACAACTCGGTAAAATCTTCAGTAAAATCACAAAATCTTTGTTATTGTTTTGCATTATTGCATGAACAGTTAAAAGTATAAATACATACATTATTTATATTTAAACTGCTGGTTCAACAAATGTTATTCATTTATTCAAAGGTAACAGCGTCAAAATACAAAGTACTTGGTGTGTCGTAATATTTTCCAGACAATAATTAAAATAATTTTAATTCTAAAATACTGTTGGAATACTTTTAGAACTTTTACTGAATAAAATACTGTTGGAATACTTTTAGAACTGAATTTCCCAGTGTGGGATAAATAAAGTTGTATCTTATCTTATTCATGTACCAAGTAAAAGGATGCATAGTTTGATTTACAAATAATATTTTCACACATATTTGCAGTACAGAGGACTCTCACTGTTGTCACCACTGATCATATCTAAAATCTGATCTCAGCTCAGCTCAACTGAAGCCTTCAGTGCTAAAAGCACACGGCAGATTTAAAGATATACAGTTCTGTAGGTGGAGCAAACTGAAAATAAACACATGTGAGGTCTGCTAAAATTTTGTTGTTTAGATCAGGACATACAAATATGAGACTGTTTATTCCCTCTTGGACCCTGGGAAAATGAACAGACATCTCTTAGGAAGTTTAAAAAAAACCCCAGACATCTCACAGGAAGTTACATCAGGATGTGAGGAGCGTGCAGCGTCTTCACGTCAGCCGGTGTTTGTGTTTATCAGGAGAATTGCCTCCTTGAAATTTCCATTCACAGAAACTCACTTAACCCCAAATCTATCCTCACTCATTCCACCACTGTCAGCCCACTGGGGGGTGGATGCTGAGGCGAGGTGCTCTGATTGGCTGCAGGTAACATAGGAGAATGCGTGCTGAACCAATGGCAGCTTCTGGTTGCCTGTGCATCACAGTGAGGTCATGTGGAGCGGAGGAGGATTAAAGTAGAAGTTAATCTCTGTTTTCACATCACACTGCAGCAACATGACAGGCTCCACAGATGAGCAGCAGCAGCTCCACTGGTTGGATGTTGCTTTAAGTCTTGTCTTCTATGTCAGTTTGAATAAAAATAATCACCAATTCACTATAAAATGTACCAAAATAATCTGTATGTAGTAGTAGCCAGTCACACAAAAATACAAGGGATTTAAATGGATAAATATATTAAAAACATTTTCTGATTATTTTTAGTTAGCAATTTCAAATTGGTGTGATATATTTTTCCTCAGGCTATTTTCTGTTTACCCTTTTCAACCTGAGAAAGTGACAGAACCAGATGTCATTACCACTGCAGTCTAATGAATGCAGCTCAGGCATAAAGATAATATCAGGCAGGAAGTTTATTTTACTGTATGTTTATAATCAAGGTTGTAATTAGTGGAGGTGTTGAACTCTACTGTGCCGTAACAACATCAGTGTTTCCCGGCCCTTTTGTGGGTGTTTACAAGACAAAAAACTCAGATTCTTAGTCTGAGGTAATTTTTTAATTAAGTCTGATATATATTAAAAAAAGAGTTTACCTGAAGAAGAGCAGAAGATACTCTGCCTGATGTCACTCAGTAAAATTACAAATAACCATTTTGGTGATGTCTTACACCAAGATCAGACATCAGTTCATGAATTTAACAATATTCTATCTGCATTTAACAGCCCAGAAATCTGCTCAGCTGTCATCTTCACTGCATGTATTCATCGTCTCTGGAGTTTTCTTCTATTCCTGCTTCCTTTTTTTTTAATCCGATGCACTCATTATCTCTCCTCAACACATGTCAAAATGATCTCCACCTAGCCTGCCATACTCCATCGCCAAACTGCTCAACCTCTGATCTGCTTATTTCTAATCCTGTCCTTCGCGGTCACTACCAATTAATATCTCAGTATCTTTAACTTTGCCAGCTTCAGCTCCGCCGCCGGCCTTTATGACAGTGACACTGTCTGTAAACCTACATCACTACTGTCTTATCAACCTTGCCTTTTCAGTCTTCTGTCACACTTCACCACTGACTCCTCTCATCCTGCAAGCCGTTCGTCCTCTCTTCCTCTTTGGCCTTTGATGGACAAGATACAGCTTAAATGTTTTTTATTTGCATTATTTTTCCAGTGTGCGACTGTGACTCTATATTAGGGTTAGTGTTGAGGAAAGCTGTACGCTCAAGTCAGCAGTGATGATTGCCTTTTCCCATGGTTCCGACTGTGGCTGGGTGTTGCCTTTGTTCCCTCGTGTGCTCTTTGTTGCTGCTGAACTGTGATAAAAGCTCAGAGTGTGTGTGTGTGTGTGTGTGTGTTAGCCAGTGATTCACAAACGGTACCGTGTTTTTCTCTTCATTTTTTTTTTACCTTTGCCTCCTACAAGTGATTGTTGTTGTTTTTTTTCAAATGAGCTGAGAATTAGAGACAGACATAGCAGTGCAGAAGAAAGTGACTGACAGTCACCAATGTCAGTTGTCCTCCTGCCAAAGCAGCTCCCACTTCATTATGCTAAATATTGGCTGTTTCCTGTGCTGGTCTGAAGTGAGAGTGTACGTTCACAGGAAGTAACATGGTTCTGATAATATGTTCCTCTGTAGAGACCTGTTCCTTCGTACCAGACGGTCCTTATTCCTTATACGAAATGTTGGAGACAGAAAATCCTGAGCAAAGCCTCAGGCTATTTCTAGCTTCACACTGGCTATATTACTTTATCACTTCTTTCACGTTGTGGTCAAAAGAAATTTTGAATCACAGTGCAGTGTCTGCTACCACTGCTGTTATGTAAACAGAGTATTCTCAAGAGCCATAGCAGGGTTACATAACACAAAGAGACGCAGGTGAAAGGCTGAGTGTAAATCTTTAAATCTCACTGCTGTTCCTACCTGGACGTGGCTTTCTAATGACTTAGGTAAATGAATGTATCCTTCCTCAGTGTACACACACACACACACACACACACACACACTATTCTAGATGAGACTTTACATTTAGCCTAACCAGAACCTCATTACTAATTTTGACCAAATATTTCACAGTAGATAGTAGTACAGAAGTACCTTAGGCCCCAAAAATACAAAGTGGACTTAAACTGGAACCATAGTCTGACTTGGAGACTTGGGGTAAAACTTCAGGATCCCTGCCCTGTACCCTGCTTACCAACAGAACACACATCAGACTGAATCACAATGCATAAAGGGGATTTGAATAAATCTACATATACAGTATGACTGTGTGTATGTGAGCAGCTTACAGATAGATGAACGCCCATTGTCACAGGAGCTCTGCCTGACAACAGCTGACAGATTTGATGTCTTTGAAAAGAGATTTAATCTTTATATTTACTGCCTGGATATAATGGCTGTGATGTTTTATGGCTGTTCCTTTCATTAGAGGATGTTGTAGTGAGGTTAGACATTAGCAGAGTCTGGGGGGAGATGTCAGTCTGTTATCTATAATTGTCCTTGAATTTCCCTTTATGAGGGAAATTAAATGGTCAGTAAAATGAATACTTATGAATACTACTGCTCCCTCAATACTTTCAGGCTAAATCAATCACAAAAGTGCTAAATACTTATCTTGATTTGACTTTAACATGACTTTTGCCTCTTTTTTAAATAATATATTGTATTTATATGTTACATGTGTTTATGATAAAATAACTACATTTTTGTTTTGTTTTTTCTCTCACACAGGAGCAGCTACAGCCAACGGTAATATCTGGAAAGATCAACCTGACGCAGGTGAGTGGTGTACATTAACAAAATGCAGCTGCTGTTTACCCTCTGAGCGTTTCTACCCTAAGTGCACCTTTGGATGTTTCTTTTTTTTTTTTCCCAGAACAGCAGTGATGTAACAATGTGCACCTCAAACAGTGGTGAGTGATGGAGCGAACTGTGGCTGCAGACGTCACAGAGCGCTGCTGCGTGCATATGTTATGTGCTGTGTTCCACTTGAATAATGAAATGCACAATGTTGGCTGCAAAGAGGCGTGTCTAATCTGTCATTAGAAAAAAAAATTAAAAAAAACTCTCCAGACACGAAACTCCTGCAGCACATGCACAGGGCTGCTGTGTAGGCTGCTGATCTACTGTTTCAGCAGGGCATGTCAGTAACTGGAGACTTAAAAGGTGACACAGTGCAGGGAAAGTGAGCCATAAAGCTCTGTACGTGTCATGTATTTCAAATGCCTGTGTACCTACTGAAGTGAAGTCGGTTTCCTGATCAGCCTCCAGCGTTAGCTCAGCCTCCTCGGATACGCTGGGGAACTTGCGTACAAAAAACAGACCCAGTGCTGCTCTTGCCAAAGCTGTGAGGCTGTATTATGTAATCAACCAGCTGGATCATTGGTGCGTTAGTAAGAGCCTATGGGAGAACCCCAGCGTATCCTGACCTCAGCTCTCTGTGGAATCGCCTTCACATGAACTACTTTACCATGAACCTTCCAGGGCCGTAGTTAGTGCTGCCACATGTTGAACACAGTGTTAATGTTTTCAGACTCAAACCTGTGGAGTCTGAAACAAACATGTCTGTATTTATTAATAACCAAAATAATTGAGTCTCTTATTCATTCCATAAAGGGGAAATTTACAGTGTTATTCTTTGCAACCAACACAGGCTGCCATGGGGTTGTGGTTACAACTCAGAGGCTGCCACATGGCACTATTTTGGCATATGTAGTTCCACTGGGACTCGAACCTCATAGCCATCTGGTGCCCCCTAGCAGAAAAGTATTTAATTGTTCTGCCTTTCATGCTTTGAGGAGCAAAGAAAAATTATATGCAATAAATAAATAATAGTTTTCAGTGAAATCTCACGGCACAATGGTTGGGAATCACTGCACTGTGGAACCACCATGATTGCTTTACTGCAGTATTCACAGTTGATGTCTAAAGAAGAAGAATTTCATCCTTGCTTTGTTTCCCATGGTCCTACCACAGATTAAGGCTAATTTAATTGCTCAATGTGCTGCTGCTACATAGTCATAGCCCACAGGTTATGACTCCCCCTGCTCAGCAGCTTCCTAATGCATTTTCAAGGTCAGACAGGTAGTGAGGGATTCTGGGCTCTACAGGAAGCAGAACTGCTTTGCATTCAGTCTATGTGCCACAGACATATGACTCATCATTTGAATTATGGGCACAAAAAATGCCCTGCGCTCACGAGCAGCAGCAGCAGCAGCAGACTGTAAAAGCTTCTGCAAAAGTGTCCATCCAACCTTCGAAGAGGGAAAAGAGGACACCGCACTCCTGAAGGTCACGGCTCGTCCAAATATGGGGCCTCTCCAGAGCTGACTAAACTAATGAAGGTTCCTCTTTTAGAGATGTCAGTGTGAGCCGCTGAAGGAAAGACTAGTGATTCTCCATATTTTACAGCAGTAAATAGAAGTCAAGTAACAAAGACAATCAGCACCTTCTACAGTCCAGCCTACAGACCTACCTCCAAACTGCCAACCAGCCTGCAGTCTACACACTCTGATCATTAAAGTTCATGGATCTGCTCAGGCAACACAGTCACTGCAGCCCAGATTCGTAAATCACACTAAGAGCTGTTCAGAAACACAACTGAACAAAAATCACATTTGGAGAGTCAGCAGGTTCAACATTTGTTTTAAACCGTGTGAAACTGGGATCTTGTTTTTATTTATTTTTTTACTCATTAAAGTAGTCCAAGTAAAAAACACCAGTCAGAGCCTGCATGGGGAAACCAATTACCAACAGATCTAATACTATAAAATATAGCTGATATTTGAAGTGATTAAGGCTGAATTCAGTTATGAAAGGTTATGTACTTAGGAATAAAATGTTCACATTGGTCACATTGGAAAAACTAAAACAATTTTCAAGTCCCTTGAGTCTATTGAGTCTATTGCCCTGCGCTGTACACACAAAATCAATAAGAGAATGAATGGCTTCCACTGAGGGTGACAGGGTGACAACAGATACAGCAGGGAAGACTGATGGCTGTGACCGAGCACTTTGTCAACATATCTGATTAAACTGGTGAATCACCTCGGAGCAGATACAGCAGAGGAACTGCTGAAGGATTAGAAACTACTGTTAGGTCCCAGCACAGACAAACTAATCGTACAGCAGCACCTAAAGAATCTGGTCATTTGAGAATCAAGAATCAGCCCTGGATGTTCTGTTGGCTGTAATATGTGTGTGTATATGTATACACACACACACATATATAAGCCTTCTTTGGCTTCTGTTTGCATTTCCTCATTGGCTTATAAAGCAAGTTAGATTACAGCTAATCTAGGATTTGAGGCGGTGACAGTAGTTTTAGGTCACAGCGGTGTGCGTGTGATGTTTGCATATTCTCTCTGTATTTGCATGGTCTCCCTCTGCTTTCCTCCCTGGTCTGTGGTGACCATATGAATCCAAATGCTCATGACTGGGAGTTTGTCTCCTCAGCACAGTGATGGACTGTCCACCTCAACTGCAACTAGTCAATGGCTCTAATCAGAAAATGATTAAGTTAAATCAATGTAGAACATGTCAAGAGTTAAAACTGCAGTAATATTAATCAGTCTACAGCCTGACGCCTGAGCTGAAGTTGAAGCCTCCACAAACATGCTGTGAGTTGAGAGGGTATTTTCTCTTCTCCTTCCAGTTAAGAAGTCCCACTTTACTAAATAGCAGTCTCCGTTCAAGAGTTCCCCCATGTAGCTTGATTGTTAATTCTCCTCTTGTAAAACACGCTGGATAAAAACATCTGATTTAAATGTAAATATAATTTTAGACTAGTTGATTTGTGACTTTTCTTGCACAGCCTGTAAAGCAAGGTCTCAGGTCAAAAATCAGTTGCAGTGTGTGAGGGTTATATTAGTACACACACAGAGCAGCAGCTCAGTTGGCAGCAGTGGCGCAGGGCAGTTCTGTGGCTGCCCTGCATGGTAATCCCAGTGAGACACTCTGATTAAGGGATTACTCTAATTTCAAAGGGATAGACCAGACCGGAGTGAAGAGTTACAGAGTAGAGAAAGTTACATGGAAGAACAGAGGGAAAAACAGCTTATAGTATGTAGGAAGTGTAGAGGACAAACATGTCAACATGGTTTTTAACAGAATGTTCCTGCTCTGAGTCCATCATGTTTTCACAGCATTGTGTATGTTGGGGTTTTTTTTTTTCAAACACAAAATGCCTCAAAGTCACAGAAAAGCCCATTTCCAGAGAAACTGGGCTGTCACATCCTCGTACAGTTTAACTTCTCAGAGGTGCTCTAGAAAGCCAAACAGTAACTTCCCACAGGCCTCGGAGGATGTCTATCTCCAGGGAGATCAAATCTCCTGGCCTCATATTGCTCTGATTAAACAGTGAAAAGCCAGTGGACAGACAGATGGTAGCGTGAAATAGTAGGACTTAAAAAAAAAAAAAAAATTCCATCCAAATGCACTTTCTCTGCGGTTGATTTTCAGCTTGGACTGGTTCACGGTGACACAGCTCCATGCAGAGTGAGTGGCAGTTATCACAAGACGGCCGCTTGGTGCATCTCCTGTTATTTTCACACTCATTCAGCATGATTGGAGCCGTATCCATTTTCTTTGAAACTAGTTCAGCTCAAAAACGAGGTCACTTTCTTCTGAGACGGTACATGTGGGACATTAGCGGATGGTCTGATTTGTCTGCAGTAAAGTGGCATTTCCTCACAGGTCGTTTTTTTTTTTTTTTTGCGCCTGGTCTGGTCTGCAGATTTTGTTTGGATCGGTGCTTAAGTGTAGTTATAATTCTGTATGATATATAACGGTACTTTAGTATTGAAACGTCGGCTGTGATGGCCCTGACCGCTGGTCATTTTTTAATTAAAGCAGAGAGAGGAACATATTGTCAGAGAGGTCTGCATGAACACAGCTTCATTCTTCTCACCCAAGGCTAATGTAACTCTTTTATGCTGGGCCTTACTGTAAACCACAGTTACATATCAGTCTCCATCTTTTATTTCCTGTCATGTCCCTGATATTGACTCTCGAAATCATAAAAACTCTCAGAAATATCTGAGATAGAAGTCTAATAATAACTTCTATGAACTGGACATTCGTACTTTTCACCATGTGAAAATCACCAAAAGGAGAATGAAACTAAATTATGAACTATTCTTGCTTTTACCTGTAATGTTAGTCTTGGTTAGTACTTTTTTTCTTTCTTTGGTGAAGAGTGGAATATCTGAAAACGTGTCATTAAGGTCTTTGCTCACATGATGAGGTTTATCCCAGGTTTTGTGACAATTGAACTTTCTGCCATCAGCTTCGAGCCAGAAATAGATGTGGGACTCAGGGTGGACAGTGCGTGTTACACAGATTCCCACACACAGTACTTAGTTTAATGTCAGCTCCTTGTAAGTAGACGTTCACTCACCAGTGTAATTAAAGTCCGTGTCTCGTGGTTTAAACCCTGTGTTCGAGGTTTTAACATTTCTGAGGAATGAAGAACTGCAGCTGAAGATCTAAGCTGAATAAGATCCAACATTTAAAAGCTCTTACTGCAACACTTCATTCTGAGAGCCAGTAAGTGTGAATTGGGATCTGTGTCTTTTACAACAGCTGAAACAGTGACTACAGATGCAGCTGTAATGTGTGAAACAGCCACTGGAGATTTGGAGTGACAGTGTGTGGGCAGGTTGTACTCTCTTCACTACTGGCGGTACAGTTTATTTCCTCTTTCCTACTTTGGCTGGACGGCCTGAGGGACGGCCTGATTAATAAAACCCTTGAGGGATCTGCGTGTTCCAAACAAAGCAAGGCCGTCCTTGAACTGGAGATGTGAATAATGACAGTGAGTGTTTGCCCAGACAGAAGCAGCATGTCAATCACCCGCTGTTGACAGCTATGAATAAAAACAGGATGCAACAGTGTGGTGGCTGTGAGTGTGGGCGCTTAAGTGTTTGATACGCAGCTGGAGACAAAAGCACTCAGTACGAAATGAAGGTGCTCTTAAAGTTATAGTTTCTTTTTATGAGTGACTATCACATTAAATGACAGTAAAGGAACGTTAAAGTCTGTCTTTTCATTGACGTCTGTGCTAAACGCCATGTAATATTTAAGGATGCAGCTGAATTGTTGCTATTTTTTGTCCTTTTTTTTTTACCCATTTAATGTAGTCAATTCTGGAGGACATCGATAACAACATGGTAAATCTGTAGAATGGCTTTGTCACCTAGTGTTTGTTCTTCTCTGCACACCAAACATCTTGAACGTCCTGACAAAAATGTGGTAAGAGATCAGAAATATTCAACATAACAGTGATCCGACAGGCAATAATTTATTTATTTACATATATATATATATATGTATATATATATATATATTGTTAATGAAAATAACTTGTTAAGCTTACTTATTTAAAAAAATAATTGTATAGAAACATTACGGTGCGTCGTCGTCAGTGACATCACTGAACAGATCATCAGTAAGAGTGCGTGTGTGTGTGGCTGTTTTTTTGTTTTTTTTGGACCATTCTGTACAGCTGTTGGAGATGTTTCTGTTTAATGAGGCCTGGAAAAGTCTCTCCTCTTAATTACTGTCTATCACCGCTGTGTGTACAAGTGTTTCTGTGTGTGTGTTAAAGCCGAAGGTGAGCACCTGGTTCTATGAACCCATAGAACCAGGTGCTCACTTTCGGCTTCTTCTCGTTAACTCCTAAAACCAAGCTTCATCCTTAAATCATAACACAACACAAATGGACCTAAATATCAAATACCACAGGCCTTCAGAGCAGCGTGACAGCAGGAGTCAACGGTCATCATTAGAGATGATCTTCACTGATCTGATATTTAGAGGAATCTGTCGTCAAACTAACTGTTATACAACTGTTCTCCGTGTCTCTTCACATTCTTGTTACAAGTGTGTTTTTCTCTCTGTACTGACATCGAGTGCTTCCACACTGTGTCAACTGTAGAGCACTTTCCGTAATGCTGCAGAAACACCACCGTTGCAAAGTACTTTAAGGCAATTAACGTTGTGAATTGTTGTAAAAGGAACAAAAACTAAACTGAGGCTTAACTCCTTTAGCATAATTGAGATGAGGCGATGATGTGACGATCACATCAACTCATTAAACAATGTAATTAACGCTTCCTGTTCTTGGGACTTTTCATATCCCCTCATCACTCTTTGTATGTTTGTGCCCTGAAAGCAAAGATCTCTGGGTAAATAAAAGTCAACATGTCTCTGTTCAGACACAACCGAACATGGAAGTCGTTTCTTCTCGATGCAGCAGTTAAACATTCGAGGCAATCACACTGTCTGTGACATACATGCAGTTTAGAGTAGGTAGATTTTAGATGCTATGGATGCTGGGAATTATTTATTCCACTTTTTGAGTAATGTGCCTTTAATTTAGAAATGATAGTTGTTAAAGGAATTTAGTGGGCTAAGAATGAGGCCACATACTGTATGTGGCCCACATCATTTGCAATTGTGCACAATTTTCCCTGAGACCCAATTTACACCAATTTCAGGTCAATCGAGTCGATTATGTATAAAAAAATATATATAATACAATTATATTTGCAGAACACAATGGAATTAAATGCAGTTAAATTAAACATATCTAAGATCCATGTGAACAAGTGGGCTAGAAACCACCATGACCTCTGCTGAAGGACGCAGCCTCCAACTATGACCAGTTTACACAATTTGAAAAAGGAGAATGATTCTTTTATTCCCAAAATTTAAAAATGTGTGCACACATTCAAAAGAAAACTCAAATGTGTAGTTGCACTAGTTCTTGTCTTGTGCCAGTACCAAGTCTCTGTTGCTCTGTTTTCACACTGCACTTTGGTAAAACTTGACTTTGCTCCACTTAGACTGTTAATCAATCCAGTGAAGGCCTCCACTGTGTGAAGGGAGACTTCTCCTTGAACACTCCGTGGACGCAGACACTCAGGATCACATGTTGTGGTGGGAGTCAGCCACATCCTGTTCTTCTAAGACGTGACTCCCAGCTGCCAGGGGAAAAATGGATTAAAACCTAAGGGCCATTGTTTTAACACACACACACACACACACACACACAGACAGACTGGTCGGAGCACACCAAGTGCTTCACCCACCCTCCATTAACACACGCTGGCACACAGAGGGGATCTCTCTTCTATAGCTGAAGTCTATTATTAGCTGTTCAACCCAGAGACAAACTAATGACACGTTGGGATGAATCACCAGTGCTGCTGCCTCCAACTATCATTACACAGCTACAGTAGACAGCCGTGAAGATGCTTACACAACACGCACACGCACACGCACACGCACACACACACTGTTATACAAAGAGTCTGTTTCCAAGACTGAGGGGTTCTTATCCTTGAACCACTGAGGTCAAAATGTCTCAGTATGCAATTACACTGTACACCTCCACCTACAGGTGTCCTCAGTGGGCTGGTCACATGCATGGAAAAATTTAGCGCAAAAAAAAAGAGGAACCAGGAGCACCTTTTTTTTCATTCACTTGGAAGAATTTTAATTTGAAAATCTTCCCAAGCTCTTTTCCATCTTATTTTTTTCAAACCGTAGTGGATGATGTTTTCACTGACTGTGACCTGAGCTGAACTATAGACACCACTTTCTTGTGCTCTCATTTGCACCGTTCTTAATGCTGATTTGACTTAGACATCATGAAAGATGAATACACAATAAAAATTGGGTTTCAATATTTCTGAGTAAACATATATAAACCCAGATAATGAATACACAATAAAAATTGGGTTTCAAGAAATACTCAGAAATACTGAGTAAACATATATAAACCCAGATAGAGTATTTTAAAAAACTGTGAAGAGTCAATCTACTCTAACAGTGGAGTCAAAAGTGAGTGTAAAATTTTTTTCAGCTCTACATCGAGATGATTAAGCGCCACTTTGCCGACAGTCCTTAGGATTTTTGCAGGCGGATGAATTGCCCAGAGTCCGGAGTAACTGACACTGACACCTGACAGGTAATGCAATATTTTCTGTTATGAACCAACAAAACGTATTTTTTCATGTTAACCTAATGTCATATCTGTTTGACTTTGTATTTGATGCTGATATCATCATAAAAAATGTGTTAATGAAGTTTCTCAGTGCTATGTAGAGCAGCGCTATTCAGGAATATGTAAAATATTTCCAAAAAATATTTAATTTATTTTTGCATCTGTCATTTGTCATTTGTTCCAGAAATGCCAACTGATATCATATCATCATATCATATCAGAAATGGGGGCCAAAAGGGAGCACAGTTCTCCTTAAATGTATACCCAAAATTGTACTAGAATGCCATTACACCCCATGTCTTTGTATTTAAAAAATTAACCAAAAATGACATATTGCACTAGGTAATTTATGAGAAATCCTGGAAAAATATAATGTCAACAATTACTTCCAAAATGTTTATTTTTAATACAGTATGTGCTAAAAATTGTCCAAAACATAATGAACAAATCCTAAAAGTAAACATGTAAATAATCTGTGTAGGAAAATCATACCTGGGTATGTGAAAATATAGGGATGTAAATAATGTCTGACGAAGTTCATAAATATTATCCAAAACATCTGCTGTTCAAATCTCACTCGTGCAAAACACACAGCTCATGTATTTAAAAAAACCTCCCTTTCCGTCCAGCACCCGGTCTGTATTAAAGAACAGACACTGACAGAGACTCTGCTGAAAACAGTGTGACAGTAGCAGCTAAATATTCTTCAAAAGTTTGTCCAGGAAGACAAAAATAGAGCTCACATTGAACCTACAAAAGAAAGACGCTGCTCTGTAACTGCAGCTTCTCTGCCTCATTAATTTTATCACTTCATTTCCAGCTGGAAAAAGAAAAACACGGTTTTAGCTTCATTGTCACTAATTTCAGACTCAGGTACGATCACAGCATGAAACTGCTCAGGAAAATGAAAGTGTTCCAGCAGGTCATTCTCTCAGTCATTCCTTCAAAAAAGGAGAATGTATTTAAATATATCCATTCATCGCTATGGTAATTGATTTAATAATCCCCAGAGTATAAAGGGACATTCATTTTTTCTTAGTTTATGGTTTAAAATACACATATAGAGGCCATTTTTTCCCACATAATTATTGTTACCATTTACTTTTCATTACAGCACGATAAAAAAATAATAATGGTAGCCAGATCCAGTGTTGCGTAATATTGATGCCCTCATGTCCCCTATTTATTTTCCCTATCATCCTAAAAAGATAATAAAATCACTGACTATAAAACTGGGCAGCCTGCTATACTTCTCACTCTGGTTTGTAGTGTTGTGGTCTAAATCACGGACATCAAACTGCCACATATAAACTCTGAGTCTGACTGAGACACACGGCAGCCGTCCTGCTGCAGCTTTGCTGTATTCACAATGACTGCTGAACGCCATTATTACTCACTGCAAAGACTCCAGGGTTGTTACTATGACAACTGATGTATACAGTGTAAAAAAGTGTCAAACCCCCACCCCCTGTCCCCACCCCCAAACAGACCAATCCTTGTCAGCTGACATTTCTACAGAGAACCCACAACGCACAGAGAAAGCAACAGGCCATGTTAATGGAGCTTTAAAAGATACATTAGAATGCTGTATCCGCTGTCAATGAGAGTTGATACCTGAGCGCTGTAACTTCAGTTGTAGACGTGGAGTCTGCATCATCCACGGCAGACTACAGCTGCTGAAGCGACAAATAAGTTAGAAACAAATCTCTAAACCATAATGAGTTGACGCCCTCTAAGTTGATGTGTGTTCATCCGGACAATTCTACAGTCAAGTTGACGTGGAATGTTCCAGTGGTACCGTCAGGAACAACATGAGCAAGTATTCTCTCATGTGACACCGCTATCATCAAGACAACATCTCCATTTCAAAAACAAAGATGATGCAGAAAGACGACGCCAAAGCAGGCTGCAATAACAGCCGCACTGATTTGGATAATGGACTTTATCATACTGGAAAAACACACACACACATACACTAACACACACTCACACGCAGCAGCAAGGGGTCCAAACATTTTGAGTTGTAGTCAGATTCAGTCTGTAAATGCTCCTACTAAGATACTTAAGTCTATAATTAATACACACACTCATTCACTGGATTCCAGCCATTTTATTTAGTTCCTAACTTGAACTTTTGTTCAAAATGTTCCAGTAGGGTCTGGAAAACTGGTAAAAAAAATTATAGTAGCAACAAATAGCATTTCAATGGCTGGTTTGATGGTTGTGTCAGGCCATAAATGTTTCACATTTAAATCAGTGACCAAATTATTTTTTTTCCGAGAAATGCGATCGAGCACATCAGGCCATACTCTGGATATGACTGCACTCTTTGTTTGCTGTTCAGGGGAACAATAATGTAAGTGGGGGGATTTCTCTGGGGGTTTTTTTTGAAGCAGTGACTGCTCCTGTTCTGTCATGTCAATATTTACTGATCTGTGAATCAACACAAATGATTGTCCTTTTTGACCTTGTGAGCAGCTGGAAGTGATGGCACCAGAAAGGTAGAGGTCTAAACCACTCCATAGTGTGGAGCCAACAAGTGATTCATCAAGTGCAGCGAGCCAAATAAGAAACTAAATTAGTTTGCCAGAACGCAGAGATGGAAGGATACGTTACAGAGCTAAGGTGGTCGATTGTATGTTTCCACTGCAGGCAGGACGGCTGGTTTTAGCCACATCTTTTTATATAGATGATTCATCAGATCTCAACTCTCAATAAGTGTGAAAATAAAAATATCAATGTCAGTGGTTCTAAATTGTTGATGTGCTATTTGCAGCAGCATGACGTCTGATTGTCCATTCTAAGAGTTTCAGGCCAAGTAGGTCAACATCAATGTTTTTATGTTAGAACTCTCTCTTGCAGTTTAATGTACATTTTTATTTTTTGAAAAACAACTGTTTCACTTTTTTTCCCTATTTTTTCAGAACACAAAGCAAAGCAAGACATTTCCACAGGAAATTGCGACCCGCCGTTTAAAACAAAATCAGTATAACATCTTTAATAGCAAATCTTGCCTGCAAAATGTGAAAAATCCTCGCCTCTACCTTACTGCAAATATCCAACAGCAGCAGCGTCTACCATATTTGACACAACCTGCCACAGACACCTGGTCTCCATCTCGGCTGGAGTGCATCCTGACCTTCTTGGCCACACAGTGCTCATCTTTTTCAGACATACAGTACATGCGAGCAATAGTCCCCTGTCACTTAATGCCCCAGATGAGTCCTTCAGCCTCTTCTTCCCAGCACAGTTTCTGCACCTATTTTTGATTCAAAACCAGGGCAGGCAGCAGAGCTCAGGGCAGAGCTCTGGCAGCTGTTACAGACTCATCTCAGTTTTAACTGCATCTACCCGGTTTGCACAGATCCCATCAAAGATCCTGAAGGAACTGTACAGTGACTGCTATATGTAATTATATATAATTAAATATATGTCTATATATATAGACATGTCTATTATGCGTGGTTAATCACAAATTATGTTATGGGCATTTTTTTTGTTAAATCTTTACATCTTTTTGATTATACATGAATAAACCCATAGTTTTTGCTGCATGTCTGAAGGAATTTGCGGAACTAAAATACTTGCAGGAGGCAGCATCAGAGATTGCGTTTTTGAGCGTCACGGTCGGTTTCAACGATCCGGGCTCAGAACGCAGCCGGTGAGGTTATTTTTAGCCTGCACGAAGAAGCGCTCAGCAGTGATGGCGATGGCTCCCACCCCCTCCTACACCATGGTGACGTCGGGCTGTTACGCAAAAGCAGGGGTTCACCTTTTCGTGCGCCTCCAGTTTTGTCACCCCTGGCGTCTGTTTATGGCACCAAACAATTGGTCCACAGGTGTACGGACAGATACTACGGTGCGATGCGCTGAACGACGTGCGGTGGAGAAGAAAGAACTGAGGCGCAGTTGGTCTCAGTGTTTTAACTTCTGCCCAAGATCTCATAAAACCCCCAAAACGGTGTAGCAGAAACATTAGTGTAAACTCAATGGCGATACACGCTGGTTTAAAGCAGGTGGCGGTCATTCTGGAGAAAGATGAGGTGGAACGGACCGTGCCAGGGTCGCAACCTCCACTCACCCAGATCTCCTTCAGTAAATAATGACGCTCAAACCAAAACACCACTGTTGTACTGGTTTTGTACGAAGCAAACAAATATAAGCATACCACGACAGGAAGTTGACACTTAACTATTTGTAGAGGTGTTGCAGACACAAGTCGAGACATTCGCCCTCCACCTCGTCCTCAGACACCAGGTCCGACAAAGGGCGCATCGGCAGCGGGTCGCTCTCCTGCAGAGGCATCCTCATCTCCCGTAGGAAGAGCTCCAAGAACCGTCGGAAGGTTTTCTCCTCTGCTGCAGAGCCGGCCATCATTTCTCATTCCTAGACACACACACACAGCTCCTCCCGTCAGTATAAGCTACACTAACTTACCGGGTTGAGGAGAAGAGGAAGGAAGGACGGGACTACGGAACTAGTTGGACTTTCAGTGCGTGGGTATGTACTATAAGCGGAGGAGGAGCTTTGCGGTGGCCCGTGTATGTGTGTTTGTGTGCAGAAAGCAGCAGCGGACCTGAGTGCACGCGTGGACCCTGGCGTCTATGATGATAGTGCCAGAGGAGCTGTCAAAGGCTGGAGCCAGTCCCCATTCAGAGGTGAGCGGGAGCGCGCACCGCGTTATTGGGGATTTCGGATGATGCGAGGTCGGTGACGTCAGAGGGTGCAGCGAACGAGCACGCATCATTCTTCAGTGACGTCAGTTGACGTATAGACTGTTATAGCCCCTATAGGCTATTTTATTTATAACTTGATTTTCGTCCTCAGTTTTTTAGTTTGAGAGCTTAAGACTTGAAAAGAGTTTTATGTTGTGCATCAATGTACTAACCACGTCTCCAGTTCCCTCCGGTGGTAGACTGTGTTATATCACAACAGAAAATATATTTAATTTGTAAAACGGGCTTATACACAACAGTGATTATTCAACATAGATACATAATACTGATATTTCTTTAAAATCATGTTCGTGGGCAATAAAAACAACAATTTGTACTTATAATAGTAGAATAAATATTCGAGTATTTACTTTTTACTAAATGTCTAAAACAGAAATTCAATGTAATGTATGTAAAACATAGCTATTATTATTATACTAATAATTATTACCTAAATAATATAATAATAATAACTTTGTATCATTGATGATATAACAATAACAAGAATAATAGCAAGAAGAACAGAATAGTCTTTATTAGAATTTATTTTACGTAACTTTTTACAATTGTTAACGGCATAATGTATGTATTTATATATATATAATATGTGCATTTATGGTATAGTCAGGGAAAGGCCATAATAACATAACAACAGTAATAACAAATACTTTTTATACCAAGGTTGTATTATAGAAACACTGGAGTTTACTAGAAAACAGAGCGCAAATGTGATTACATATCGGACCAAATAGTAAGACGAACCCGGAAATCAGTGCATCGCTATTTTCCTTCCCCAGATGAAAACATGAAGGAGGCGAATATGGCGGCCCCTGTGAGTATCGGGGCTCTGCTCCGGTCAGAGATTGTTGAGGAACCTGGGTACCGGGACGAGGGCCTCTGTGTTGTTGGTATTTTCGGTAAAAGTAACGCCCAACCGTGGTCGCTAAAGGAGTCTTTGATCAACACTCTGGCGGACAAACACATGTTTTCGCTTTTTGGTGAACCGGAGGAAGGCGACGCCACGGCGAACAGTCACATCCAGGTTTACTACAACCAGGAGAACCGGGTTCTATATCTGATGCTCTCGTCCGTCAGCGATTCCCGTCAGCTTCTGCGGGCATGCCAGACACTAAGCGCCAGCACCGGTCACTCCGACTCGCATGATTTCTGGAAAGGCCTAGAGAGACAGCATTGTCTGCACTTGCTCTACATGTTCAGCGTGTGCCACGTCCTTCTGCTCGTCCATCCCAACCAGACCTTCGACGTGACCTACGACCGGCTCTTCAGGGCCCTGGACGCCCTGAGACAGAAAGTGCTGCCGCTGATCCGAGCTGCTATCAAGGATTGTCCGGTTTCCAAAGAATGGAAGGTGAACTGCAGACCTTGTCCACCACGGCTGCTCTTCGTATTCCAGATGAACGGCAGTCTCAAGGTATCCCCTTAATATTCTTTATTTATTATTTTATTTGAGATGATTTCTTTTATTAAATGAGTTAAAATACATAACATCTCTCGGTCAAACCTACAATGAGAATTGGACTAGCAACAACGACCAAATAAATAAAAAAATGTTGTTTTCACAAACAGCAACAACCACAGTGTGATATTTTGTGAAATCAACAGTTGAAGAGAAATTGACTGAGAGAATTGGTAATTCACTTTTAAGTTACGCCTTAAGGTTTTATGGTAAATTACTCACAGATTTTGCAATTTCTGATTTTTTTCAGTTTGAATCAGTTTTGTTTTAAATGCTTTTACTTAAAAAAATGATATCTTTGTTTCTTTTCATTTTGCCTTTTTTAAATGTATGTTTATTCTCTGTGTTAAGTCAGATAATAGCATAACTTGATTTGTTATGACACCTGCTTTGTCCTTTTTAAAGATTTCTACAAATGGCTCTGATTCTGGAGGAAACCCAGACAAACCTAAAAAGCACTCTCCCAGAAGGAGGCTGCAGCACGCCTTGGAGGACCAAATTTACCGCATATTCCGTAAAAGCAGAGTCCTGACCAATCAGAGCAGTAACTGCTTGTTCACAGTACCAGCCAATCAAGCATTTGTGTATGTGATACCGACAACAGATGAGGACCCTGTAGCCACTTTGCTCAGTCAGCTCAGGTCCAACTGCACCTTATGTGAGCAGGACTCTACAACGCTGGTGTCAGGGCCAAGGCGTTACCAGCAGATGAGGCGTTCTGCTCGACAACCCAGCTCTTCCAGGGACCCTGGTGTCATGTCTATGGGAGGTCAGCTGGTAGACTGCAGCCTGAAGGAGTTCCTCTGGCAGCATGTGGAGTTGGTGCTGACCAAGAAAGGCTTTGATGACAGTGTGGGGCGCAATCCACAGCCTTCTCACTTTGAGCTACCAAACTTCACCAAATGGGTCCAGGTAGCCTCCAGACTGCACCATGTTCTCATTACCAACAAAGAAGAAGAAACCGCTGAGCTATCTGTGAAAGTGCAGAGCCAGCTCAAGGTTTTGGAAGGTTTTCTTGAAGCCGATACAAAGTTTTCCGAAAGCAGATGTCAGAAAGCTCTGCCATTGGCTCACAGTGCCTACCAGTCCAACCTTCCCCATAATTACACCACAACTGTGCACAAAAACCAGCTAGCCCAGGCACTGCGAGTCTACAGTCAGCATGCCCGTGGTGTGGCGTTCCAGCGCTATGCACTGCAGCTTCATGAGGACTGCTACAAGTTCTGGAGCAATGGCCACCAGTTGTGTGAGGAGCGAAGTCTGACTGATCAGCACTGTGTTCACAAGTTCCATCTTCTCCCTCAACCAGGTGAACAATTCTTAGAAATTCCTTCCTTTTTTTTCACTCCCTCTGGATGTATATAAATATTCAATGTTTTGATTAGTCATTTTGAAACAAAACTTTTTATATGTTTGTTTATTATTTCAAAATAGTGAAATAAATAATGCATAGAAATATGTCTTTTCTGCAGGGGAGAAGCCAGATATGGACCGAAACCCACCCATTTTGAACCACAACAGTAGGGGGCGCTCCACCAGCTCCTGTAACTGTGGCAGGAAGCAGGCTCCTCGTGAGGATCCATTTGACATTCAGGCAGCCAATTATGATTTTTACCAGGTGAGATGACACACTCTTCACTCCTGTTGAGGACCACAGCTGAGCAGCTCAGCTCTGTGGTGTTTGTCATAGGTCACAGACACACACTTCATCAGGAACACTTTGTCATTTCACGTCCTGTGCATTTTTACAATACAATTTAGAGTTCTTGTTGATGTTGACTGTAAATGTTTTTACCCAGGAATGTCACTGTTTGTTTTAGTTTTGTTTAGTTTTTGTTCTGATTAAAAATGCACCTTTTTCTTCCAGTGCAAATCTCAGACACATCTGCCACATTTTTGTTAAAACATGATTATACCATATATTTTAATATATATACATATTTTTATTTATTTATTCCACAATAACCCTGATCTGTTTAAACAGTTGCTAGAGGAGAAATGCTGCGGGAAGCTGGAGAGGATTGAGTTTCCAGTTTTCCAGCCCAGCACTCCTGACCCAGCCCCAGCCTCCAACCAGGCTCAGAGGATCTCATGTGAGGCCTCAGGTGATGCCGAGAGGCTAAAGGAGCCGAGCACAGCCCAGAGCCATACACCTGGGGACACCAGCCTCAGTCTGGCTCTAAGTCTGGGTCAGTCTACAGGAAGTTTAGGTACATACGGTGAAGGAGATGGGACAGAAACCCAAGTCCAGCAGAAGAGACCAAGCCTTGTTGATCGTCAGCCCTCCACAGTGGAGTACCTCCCTGGTATGATGCATTCTGGCTGCTCTAAAGGACTCTTACCCAAGTTCTCCAGCTGGTCTCTTGTTAAACTAGGTCCAGCAAAGTCTTATAACTGTCACACCGGTTTGGAACAGCCAGGATTTCTACCTGGCTCCTCTTTCCTCTTACCATGGGATTTGGTCATCCGCTCCCGGTCCGAAGAAGACACAGGGTTGACAGAACCTTTAGATGGAAGCACTTCCTCATGGCCGGCACCCAACAAGACCCTGGTGGGAAAGCGAGGGAGCACAGGAGGTCTGGGAAGAGGTCGCAGGAGGGACGATATGGCTCGTGCATTCGTGGGTTTTGAGTATGAAGACAGCAGGGGGAGACGCTTCATTAGCTCAGGGCCTGATAAAATAGTGAAGGTGCTTGGACCAGGGGGCGCCAAAGATCCTGCCACCAGAGTGCTGAACGCAGACATGCCGCTCTACATCCCTTCACCTTCTCAGGGCCGCGGCCTGAAGCCTCACTATGCTCAGCTCACCAGACTTTTCATCGTGGTGCCCGATGCTCCACTAGAGGTCACACTTAACCCACAGGTAAACAGCTTAAGTTATATAGATAAGTAGAAGTTCATGTTGAAGTAGACAGAAATTTGGTTTATGCCAGTTTTGTATGTTACATAGATTTTTCAGGTTCTTCAACAAAACCACATTATGTCACTGTCGTCTTTTACCTAAGGTCAGGTGTGACATTCCTACATGGCAGAGTCAATGTTGAAATTTATCACATTGTAGAAATTTGCAGTTGTTTTTTTGTTCATGTAACAGCTCCTGTAAACCAACTAGAAACAGTGTTCTTTACGTAATACATATTTTTGCCATATCACTACAGTATTTAAAACTTTCTCTACTGCATGTTCCACTTCAGTTGCAAGGTTGAAGGTTTGTGCAGCTCTTGATGAATTGTATTTAGTGGTAAAATTATTTTAAAAATCTAATTGCTCATCTGGTGTTGAAGGTTTGATGCCTCAAGTTTAAACTTAAACATTTCCATTTAAAACAATTTCTAAATAAAAATGTTTGTTATTTTATTTTTTAGGTGCAGCCCGGACCTCTTCCCTGTCCAGTGTTCCATCCAGAGAAGACTGAAATTGTGTTACCCCCAGATAGTTTCTGGGTTCTAAGGTTCCCTTACTCGTACGCCACAGATCAAGGCCCTAATTACCCTCCCAAGGAAAACCAACCACTGAACAACTACAAAGTCCTGCGTGGAATCCTGAGAGCGACTACTGCCAACCCTTTACCACAGTAGAGTTCAGTAGTTCACCTTCCTGGACTCCTGCTATTATTATTCCCACGTTGCTCTTCTAACTGTACGATATAGAATCCCCCTGATTTCACCTTCTTCAAGCCTCACAGTGGTTGTTAAATGGAAATTTCCTGGCCTGTCCTTTTCTTACACTAGACGCTGCTTAGCTGAAGAAGTTTTTTTTTTTTTTTTGTGTTGGCCTGAGTCAGGGAAACAGGACAGGGTTCGATCAGTGCCCTCAGTTAGTGACAACACTTTATTAATTGCTAAATAAATCTCCCCAAGGATGTAATTTGTGTAGTCATTGGAGGTGCTGTACATTTTGTGTTATTGATTTCAAAGATCAAGTGGCCTTTTTGTTTACAGAGTATAAATAAGATTTACCGGCACTTAATTCTTGGCTGTGTTAATTTTTGGGAGTCAATGGTTTGTGAAAACTGGTGCTGAGGAAATACCGGTAAATGTGTTAAAAAATGTTTTGTCAACAAAATTTGTTGTTGTCAGCTTCTAAAGGGCTAGGTCTGAACAATTAATGTTAATAAAGCAGAGGCTGAGGTGAAAAACTCAAACATTACTCATTACTCATTACTCTTTTATGAGAAAAAAGTTCAAATATAAGTTTTTCAAATATTGATAATATTATTTCAATTTTCATATCCAGTCACTCCAGTGGATATGGATATTTAAAACAATAAATCATACAACACCCTAACTTCTGAGGTATCTGATAAGTGTTTTTTGGAAAATCTGAGTGACCAGTAAGTTTCTAACTACAGTAACAACCGCTTAAAAATATGGGCGTCAAATTTCAGGTCAATTTTAGGGCGAAGTGTTTTACATACATTGTGTTGTTCACTAGGTGGAGTTGTGCTCTTTCGTCATAGTTAAAGCAGCTCAGGCCCCTGATGGAGACAAATGACCCTTTTATATCAGAGGCCAAATCTTCTGGACAAAAAGCACAGGGTCATGTGGGACAGGCGTGTCAACAAATGTGAGTGAGGGATGGAACAAAACTCACAGGTCACTAGAGTTTGTGATTTGAATTTCAAAGACTTCCCTGAAGCTGATGCTATTAAATCTCAATTATTTATCAAAAATGTCTAGTAAGCAAACACCACTCCAGAGCTAATCCTCCGCAGGGATAAAACTTCTGGTATTGGAAAACAACAGAAATATAATAATGTACATTAATGTTGTTAAAAGACAAGAATATAATTTGTTTCAAAAACATCATCATAACTAGTCAGTTTCTCTCTGAAACACACTTGGTTGTGCATGTTTTATTAAAACATTTAAATTTCAACCCCATAAATGACTAACTTTAAATCTCATTGTTTTTGTTTTTTTTTCCCATTTTCTTGTCACTAAGCAGAGAGGAAGAAAGGAAGAGGAACAATCTCCTGGAAATGTTATATGTTAGTCACACCGAACACAAACAGTTCCAGCTTCCAGGAATGTGGGTTATAAAAATTAGGGTTAATCATGAAGCTAAGGCGTGAGTCTCAAGGACACAAAGTTAAACAGCTGGTGATCAACATATTGAACCACTATTGGATTGTAGTGGATCCTTCACAGTACATCGGAATGTTTTAAATTTAAATAGATTTACTTTAATTTAAATTAATGTACTGAAATGAAACCAATAATTTAAACACTGCTTTAGCTGCTGGAATTTATAAATATTTAGATTTAAATCATTCCATTAGATATGTGAAATATTTTTAAATGTAATTTATTTTATTTATGTATTCCCCTATTGTAATTTTTTATTTAATTTTTAAATATGAATTTTTGATTATTTTAAGTTATGCAAATCACCTATATTCTTCTATTTATTTCATTTAAATACATGACTATAAATCATTGCATTTTCTTCTGTTATGACCATACACTCTCTGAGCCTTGTATTTAAATATTTAACAAAAAACACCAGGTGTACACATATACACATTTAGTTTTGTTTAGTTTTCATTTTTACCAACCAACATTTATTTGTGGTAACACTGAAATACAACCCACACATATGTTGGCCACTGGAAGCAGTAAATGCAGGTGTTTGTGTCAATGAACAACAGCCATAAAAGGAGCAGAACCAACTTGTAGTGTCCAGGACTGCTGTTTCCACCTGTTTACAGGTAGAGGTGAAGGAAAAGGAGGAGGAGTCGGAGTCGGGAGAATGAAGGCCAGCCTACATGTAGATCAGAGTATACAGCCGTCAGTCTTGCTTCACATCTCCGTTCTTCTGTGAACACCACGGTGCCAAAGTTCAGCGCTCACGACCTGGACAATAGTGAAGAAAGACAGAAAGGCAACAGTGACGTTCATGTTCTCAGGCAGCGTCAACTTACAGTGAGTATGACAGACATCACATTTATCCACCAATCAATGATTTCTTCAAGTTATGGCCCTAGGCTCTTGCAATAGTTTACTGCCAGTTAACTTTCCACTGTGTTATTCTATAAACGTGTGAGGTCACAGCTCTGTGTTGTGCTTAACAAGGTCATCTTTTATCCATGATGTCTTCTTCAGAGGAAAAGTCATGAATTATAAAGCAGTTTTTCTAATTTTCCTGCCACCAAGGATGGCCTGAAATGATTCATTTAAAAGTAACAGTTGTGAATTATATATTAAAACCCATATGACCCTGCATGATCCAGCTTTTAGGATTATATCTACATAAATCAATATCTATTACAGTACTAGTATATCTTAATAAATTGCAGTAGCTCATCACTGTTCTTTTTTTTAATGTTTACAGTGATGATTTGGTCTCATCATAACCCTTTTTCTCTGGATAACATCTCCAACCGTTTCAGTTTGATCAGTTATTTATTGCAGTTCATTGACTATCAAATAATAATGGCACAATACCTTTACAGTTAACACCTTGACATTTAGGATCATCAAATATAACTGGAACAGTTGCATGCTAATAACTATTATCGGGATAACCTTAAATAAAATATCATACTGTCCTACAGATACAATATGGTTTAAATGATAGAAGTTATCTTTTTCTGTTGTAGTAAAAAGTGTGATTTCTCTGGCTGAACCATTTAAAAACCAGCAACTTGGACTTTGTTTTAATTGCAGCAACAAACCTAAGTTACATTTAAGATTTTGATTTATTAGCTCAAAGCCTTATTTTTTTTAGTAAATCAAAACAAGAAAATTGTCCAAAAAGGACAATGAGAAGACAATCACAGTGGGAGGTGAATGTGTGTTATACTCCAAAAGTTGCCTTGTTTACTGCACATAGTCTGTGTTCAATTGGCTGTTGCAGAAGATTAATGTGTTACCTAATGATTTATGACCAGAGGAAGAGTCACAGCTCCACAGGGTCACTACAGCTGAGCTTCTCTGTGACAATACATTAGTCTGAGTCTTTGTCACCTGTGGGTCAGTGTTATCTACAGTATCTGCCCGTGACAGTGTGGCGATTCAGAGGAGGTTAAAGACAGTGAGTGACAGCAGTGAAAATGTTAAAACTCTTCTGAAAACGATAGAGTGTCCGCATAACAGGTCCTCAGGGACTTGTGTACCTTTAATGGATACTGGACACACTGTTCTGTGTTTTATTCAGAGTAACTATGATACTGCGACAGGAAAGACAAGTTGAGCTTCACGGGTCAAATTTCATCCACCACCATTGTCGTGAGTTATATAAGCAAAAACTATAGGGTTTGTCCGGCCCTCCAGACCAATCTCTTCATCTCACTTTTCACCTTGCAAGGTACATGAACCAAACATTTCATACTGGCCAATCAAATCTCATCAAATTACATATCTTTAAAATCCCTTTTTTTATATTCTGGTAGAAAAATATTGAAAGTGATGTTGATAATATTTTTGAATAAATTTATTGTTGGTTGTCTGTTTGCCCAAAGGTGATGCAAAACTAGACTTTCAGAAGACAGTGACACTACAAAACAGAAGATCAACATGAAGACAAAGCTCCAACGAAGGATTGTTTCCAAGGACGGACACAATAATGTGCGGATTGACAATGTGGAAGGCATGGTGAAGCTTTATCTGCACGACATCTGGACCACCGTAGTGGACATGAAATGGCGATATAAACTGACTTTGTTTGCCTCCACATTTGTATTGACGTGGTTCATCTTTGGGGTCATCTTTTATTTGATTGGCATGGGCAACGGCGACTTTGACAATAATCGGAATTCCACCCAAGTGCCCTGTGTGATGAATGTAGAGACCTTGACTGGAGCCTTCCTCTTTTCTTTAGAATCACAGACCACCATTGGCTATGGGTTTCGTTACATCTCGGAGGAATGTCCTCTGGCTATCTTTACTTTGGTGGCTCAACTGGTCATCACTGGCCTAGCTGAGATCTTCGTCACCGGCGCATTTTTAGCCAAACTGGCTCGGCCCAAAAAGAGAGCAGAGACCATCAAGTTCAGCCAAGTGGCGGTGATCTGCCAGCGACAAGGCAAGATGTGTCTGATGGTGAGAGTGGCCAACATGAGGAAAAGCCTTCTGATCCAGTGTCAGCTAACAGGAAAGCTCCTTCACTCCAATGTCACCGAAGAAGGTGAGAAGACCCAGATCCACCAGAGCTCTGTAGACTTTCAGATGGACTCAAGTGGGGAGTGTCCTTTTCTCATTCTGCCGCTCACTTTCTACCATGTTCTGGACGAGAAAAGCCCATTGGCAAGTCTGACAGCAGAAAATCTCAAAGTTCGGGACTTTGAACTGCTGGTCACCCTCAACGCTACAATGGAGTCGACGGCAGCCACATGTCAGAGTCGCACATCTTACATCCCTCAGGAAATCCTCTGGGGCTACGAGTTCAAGCCAGTGCTTTTCAGTACAAGTGGTGGACGTTATGTGGCAGATTTCAAATTTTTCGACAAAGTCCATATAAGCAGTGATGGAGCCTTACTCAAAAACAACACAGAGAAGCTGAAACTGGAAGAGGAGTTTAAAAAAGATTGAACAATAAAAGTATTTGTTTTTTAGACTGTGAATCTGGATTAATTGGCAAGTATGTAATCACTTTACGTAATTATTGTAGTATCCTGTGCAAGTCTTTTTTTTGTAGTAAAAGTAGAGTATTTCCTAATAGAATAATAATATAAAAGTCTTTGTGAATATTTTATATTTCTTGATGGTAATCAAAATGGGCTAAATCATTTTGATAAAAACTAAAGTGCCTGTTACTAAGAATTGGAATCAATGTTATCTTATATTTTGTCTCATAAGATTATTTCTTATTGGTTTTCTTTACATCAGTGATTTTACTTCTGTTTTGTAGCTAAATATTATCCCTTATAAAAAATTTCAAATTAATATACTGATGCACAGTAAATATTATCTTATGTCACTTAGTGCAAGAAAACTACTTTACTGTATATTGTAATCATCAATGAGTATTCAGGTAATTAATTTTCAGCCAGCATTTTTCCAGAGTCCAAAATACAGTTGGAATTATGTTGGATTCATATGGACCTGACGGTGGCAATTGTTGTGTACAAAAAATTTAAAGATGATTAAAAAGAGTTATTGAAGGACAACACATTCGGTCTGCAGTTTCAACACCTCAGCTTTCATCAGCTGTCAGCTCTTGTTGTGGCAACACACAAGCCTGAATGTTAGTCATTGTTTTTTGTGGTTGGTCACAACATTCTTTCAGTCTTTCTGTAGACTCTCAACAGAGGGATTTGACATTTTGGTTGAGGTCTACTTTCTTGCTATCTTGATTTTGCTAAATAATAATTAATAGTGTGTTTTAAATTAATGGAAAATTTTGTCTTTTGTTGTACATCAACAAGTTAAATGTTATTGTGACTTTTCTGTTACTGCACACATTTCCAAATTTGGTTGACTGTGGTCATGATTAATAAAATGTGGTGCAAAAGATTTAAAAACAGCGTTGACTTGTGACTTGTCCTTAAGCAGAAAACAGATTAGTATGTAAATCGTTAAGTAGTATTTGAGTATATTGAGGTTTTCATTTTAGCAAATTATGTGCCAATATAAAATGTTTTTGAAATATTATGCATTGTAGACCAATATTCTGGCATGTACATTATCTGCATAACATTCAAACCATACAAAATTAATTACTCTAAAATAAATACAGAGTCATTAAAGAGCAAAGTACAACAGTTTAGAAATTGTATAAATTAGTAATATAGGCTAGTATTATAAGTATTAACGCAACACAATGATGTTAATTTTACTATGTTGTCATTGTTGTAAGTTATCTTTTTTCATGTATTGTAATTTTTTTAAGCCTCAGCTAAGACTTGACTTTTAGAAACTTCAGAAAGCATCGAAAACAACCTGCACTGGATCTCTGCAATGCTGCGTTCTTTAAGATTATAAATAATCGTTTTCTTTCTTGTACAGTACCGTACTTTTAATGACTTAAGCCGGAAGCATTTTCAAGCAACACAGCTTTTATTCTGAAGGACGGGAACCAAACGTTTGCGAGAGCAATCTTCCGGTGGAAGACAAACCAGGACGTCTTGATGAAAATGTTCACGGGTTGTTTGCGGAATTGAACCGTTTTTAAGCACCGTTTTCAAGCACCGTTTTCATACGTATTTGTAAGGACGAACAGCCAGACATGAGCGTCACCTTGGATATAAGACTAAAACGAGCGAATAAAGTGTATCATGAAGGGGTATGTTTTTCTGTTCCGTTTGTATCTTTTCGACTAGCGTGCTGTGTGTCTAACGTCAATGTTAACACTTTTAGTCCTGCATTTATTTGTTTTATTTCGGTAAAAGACATTCATAATTAACTGCAGCTGACGAATGCTAAACTCTAATTGTCACATGATCCAGCGCCAATGAGGTCACGTGTGTTCTAAAGTGTTTTCCTGGTGTTAGCGTGCCTAAATGTGACTTAATGATGTAGAGAAGTCAAATTTTACTGTGATGTGACTATAGAAATATAATTCTTCATACAGCAATTGTTTGTCCATTTTATCGACCAGAATCATGTAACTATATCAACACCGAAGGCAACAAACAGTGGTCACTGACTTTATCAACTTTGTTTGAGAAATGTGTAATTCGACATTAACAAATTATTTTAAAAAATGCGCCAGTAATGGATAATCATTTCAGCCCTGAAGTCCTCGATTAGGATAAACATCGGACAATAAAATAGTAAAAAAAAACAACAACAACGAAACACCCTCTGTTAATATTTTTAATGTTTGTTTGTGTGCAGGAAGTGGTGGCCGGTGTCATCGTGTTGATGTGTAAGGAGCCGCTGCAGCACAACGGTATCTCCCTGAGCATGGAGGGACTG